GCAAACACATTTATCTCTTTGTTAATGAAAACGTATCTAGGAAATAGTCAGATTGATTTATGGAGAAAGGTATGGGAAGGGAGGTGGCGCCAAGCTGGGTAGACTGTCCTTGGCCACAGCTAAAGGAGAGGTCTTGGGACTTCCAGAAGGCACATATTTATTTGCTCTCAGAGGCAAAGGATGTTTGCAAAGTCCTTCTGCAAGGCAGTCTGGTGTGTTCGTAGGAGTCAGCTATACTTTCAGCTAGGGTGACCCCCACCCCCAAAATTAGCCATCCAGACCAGGAGATATAAAGAAGTATCTCCCATTGGTTTCAAACCCAGTTTCCATAAGGCACAACTGAGCGAAAGATACTGGCTCAGAAGTAAGCTTGAGGAAAGACTAAGCCTTGCCATGGTAAGATTCCAATACTATGTGTTGCTAAAAGATGAAACAGTAAGGAGATAGGCAGTAGATTACAGGGAGTCTACAGGGTCAGCTGCAAAGTGTGCACGCTTGCAATGTGACAATTCATTAGTGAATGCAGATCCAGACAGGGCAGCCTGGAGAAGATGCTTTTAAAGACTCTTTCCCTAATATAGACAGTGATGTTATAAAAAGCATTGTATGGTGACCCAATGTACCTACACTTGTGGTGAGCACAGCCTAAAGCATAGAGTTGTTGAATCACTATGTCATATACCCAAAACTAATATAACATTGTATGTCAACAATACTTCAATAAAAATAAATAAATAAAGACATCCACCCTGGAAGCTTCCCTCACCCAGAAACTCACTAATTTCTCAAGAAAAACCTCTGCTAGACAGTTCCCCATCATGGTTCACAAAAACAAGGGTCCATATAGCCTAGCAAAGGAGTTTTGGTGTCTCTGTGCTTACTCTGGATTCAGAATTCCTCTGGTTGTCACTTTAGGCATCCTGGGTACCTGGAATGTGTACTGTTCACAAGGTGATGCTGATGAGGAGGCATTTGCATGTACCTTGGCAAGAAGATGGATTTAAGAACTCGACCACAGGCTCCTTACTGGGTGAGAAGGCAGATGGGCAGATGCCAAGACAGGTTTTGTTCTCTTGAGCCTAGAAAGTCTAGAAAAGCTGCCTGCCCTTGGTTGCTTCCATCCAGGTGTGACCATCACAGCCCCAACAGTGATTGATTACTCCTTTATATTGTCCTCTGTTTTGACCATTTGAACTACCACTTAACAGCCTAACAGAAGGGCTAGTGTTTTTAAACATTGACTATGTGCTGGACATATGTCTGTGATCCTTAATCTTCACCAAATCTGTGAGAAAGTATGAGTTAAGACAACTAGGGCCACAGTCAGTGATTCTGAAACCTGCATGTGCATCACACTCACATGAAGGCCTGGAAAGCACAGATTGCTGAGTGCCACCCCCAAGTTTCTGATTCAGTAGCACTGGGGTAAGCCCAAGAATTTGATTTCTTCAAGGGTCTTGAATGACGTTGGTGTGGTGACTCTGAAGACCATACTTTGAGAGCTACTGGTCTACCTCAAACAGCTAACGTATCTGCAGGCAGGATTTATACTCACGTCTGTATGATTCCAAAGCTACATTGTCTTAGCTGATATGAATTGCCCCATGGTGTGTATCCCAGATGGACCATCAGGGCCTTCTCAGATCATATCTGGTCTTGCTGGAACACCTTACCCTTTGATTCTCTGTCTAGCTACCTCTGCCATCTTTCATGGCTCAGTTAACATTTCCTCTTCTACAAAACCTTTCCTGAGCTCTGTTAATAGTCAGCTGCGCCTCCCCAGTGCTTTCAGGATCCCCCATGCAGAGCCTTAGCTCAGCACTCTCATGCTGTTTAATTACTACTGCTTTACTCCTCTGACCATTCCCCCACCCCTCACTATGAACCCCTTGAGGATGCCTGCCATTCATTCCTTGCGGTGTGTGCCACTGTGCCTTACCAAGTGGCTATTCAGCAGCTGTTGGTGGGACAATTCGTTGAATGACTCTAACCAGTTGTCAGCATGCATGATTGAGGTTTATAGAGATGACACCTGTGATGGGCAGATCTTCATCTCTCTGGTGAGGGTGCAGGGACACTTTCTAGCAGTCGTTGCTCAAGAGACTACTTTGAGAAACATGCTAAATTAAGTGTGTTTAATTTAGCCTTCTGTAGTTCTGCCTTCTCCAGGCTAAGCATCCCTTGCTTGTTCAGATGGGTGTCTTATCTGATGTGCACATCTGTCTTCCCCTGACCACCAGTGTTGGCTCAGAGCTTGGCTGGCCCTCTGCTTCTATACTCTTTTATTCCCCCCTCTGAGTCCCTTTCAAAACTGTACAGTCTGATGAGAGGATGAGTGCCCCAAGGAGATGACAGCTTTGGTGTATGAAGAGTAAAGTCCTTCTGCCTAAACTTCTGAATGTTTTGATAGTGCTATTTACACTGAACTATGGTGGAAGTACCTACTGTGTGCTGGGCATGGTAGTGAGCTGGGAAACTTTCCTTGAAAGAACGTGTGTGCACCTAAATGGGAGAGATCCCTCTGCATGGACCCATGGCTATGAAAGGTGATATATGGAGGCCACAGTGCTGAACCATGAGGCTAGCACAGCAAAAGAAGATGGTGTTTGGGGGCAGGAGCAGTGAGGTCTACTGGGACAGAAATGGACATGAAGCCATAAATATTTGGGCTGCCTACTTGTCATCCAGAGATGATCCCTGAGCCTCTGGCTAGGGGCACCGTCATGAATAAATACTAAGAGGCAAGAGGAAATCTCCATTTCAAATGTGGGGATGGAACAGTAGTGCTGAGCTCCTTGGCAGTTATGCATTCATTCCATACTCATGGAAACTGCAGTAATTTAGAGCAGTTCAGTATTTAGACTCAACTGTGTAATTCATCCTGATGTTTCCCATTCATCAAAGCCTTGTGTTTGTTTGTATTACCATGAGAAAAATAAAAAACGTGGGGAAAAAGATCCCCCCTCCTTTCATTACAGGCAAATTACGACAGAGTTACAACCCTTGGGGCCCTTCAAGCAAAGGAACATCTTGCTTCAATTAGATATAAATAATGAACAATAATTAGAAAGATTTCTTCATCGAATTTGTTATTTTATGTTTCCTTTCATCTGTAATGTTTTGAAACAAATACTGAGCTCTGTTACTGGGCCAGGTAGCAGGGCCTTAAAGGAGCTCCATGGTGTGCATCTCCAAAGCAGAAGGAAGCACCCATTGTTGGCTCCTCTGTGCACATGCTGTGAAGGCTGGTGTGAGCCCTGGTACCAGTGCCACGGATGTAAAAAGGAGGCTGCCTCAGCTCTCATCCTCCAGATTCCTACGGTCTACCATGCAGAATAATTGCTGCTAGTTACTGGCCACTGAGTTTGCATCACGCACGGCTTTATGAGCTAAGCACACATCATTTCACTTAGTCTTAATGGTAGCCCTCTTCCACAAGCTCTAATTCTCGCCCTGCTTTAAGTGTTTCAGAAACTGAGGCACAGAGAGTTTAGCTAACCTGCCAGTCCTGCAGTATCAGTGCTGGTGGAGCCAGAGGTGAGGCAGGTGTTTGGCCTCAGAGTTGTCACTTCCTCTTGCTCTGGGATGCCATTCTCTCAAATCACAGTGATACTATGTAGCCATAGAAACCACACAAGGTGTAAAGATGGCACAGGGAGATGATGGCTTCATTTGGGTAATGGAGGCACCCAGATCTTTAGGGTGTTTGCAGAAGAATATCAGGTGGATGAGTGAGATAAAGGGGTTCCAGGCAGAGGAAGCACTGTGGCCTGGGCCATAGATGGGGACTGTGTGGGACTTCTCATTTCAGCATCGGCTGTGGAGTTGCATGGAGGCAGGAGCAGCCGCTGGAGATGAGACCAGAAGATGGAGGGTTGTGTAGATCAGGTTGAGGAGCTAGATCTCTTTGTGGGAAGGGTGACTCAGGGAGAGGTGGAGATGATGATCCTTGTTGTTACAAAGGAGAAACAGATTTCCAGAAGAGAAATAAACAGTGGTTTAGTTGGAGCTGGAGAAAGAATTTGGCTCACCACTAAGCATTTTGGGATTTTTTTTTTTTTTTTTTGCCAATTTATTCTGTATGTGACATTCTCTCAACACACTGAACCACATGGTACTCACTCAAGGCAAGTGAAAGCTTTGTACCAATTGGTCCTTCCTGGTCTGACTATTCCCCCACCCCCAGGAAGCCACTCCTTCTCGACCCCCAGCTCAGACATCTGCTGGTCGGCCTTCCTGATGCACCGGTTTGAACATGCTCCTGGTTTTAACTATCTGCTTCTCCTTCATGTACAACAAACCCAGGGCTCTCAGAAATACTTTGATTTATCTCTACTATCTTTCGATAATTGTTAGCACCTAAAAATCAAGAGACTTCATCTAAAAACCCAGATTTATTTCCTTATTAGAAGACAAATTGAGGGGTAATGCTCAAAATGCAACAGTTGGGTGGAGCTCTAGAAGAGCCACAAGCTTTGGAGGGGACATGCATATTCACTGGCACCACCTGAACGTGTGTCTCTGCCCACACCAGTTCTAAGTGTCAGGGACTAGTCATCATCATCAATCTTCCCAACATGTATTTCCTTCCTGTGCCGTAGGCATTAGAGTTGGAGACCTTTAATATCCAGCCTCCCATGTTGCCCTGTCTCTTAGATCGTGATTGTCTATATATTTCTATGGCTAGACTGGAAGCTCCTTGAGAGCAGGAATGATGTCTTTTATTCATCTTTTTGTCCCTTAAGCTCAGCACAGGACCTGGTTTTAGGTATTCAATAACCTTATGGAATTAATCTACACTGAGGAGATATAACTGTGGTAGAATTAGGCCCTGACAAGTCGTGCTCTGGGCTGAGGAACTCAAGCCATTTGAAGTTGGGAGTGATGAATGTGGATAGTGGGCCACATCTGGGCTTAGGCCTCATGAGGACCTTGCAGCCCATTTATATCCCTGCAGTGTGCAATGTGTACACATGCTTCACTGCCTTTTTGCATTTCAGGACATTCCAGGACCTCTCCAAACAAGTTGACATGTCTTACGGCACCGTCCGGGATTCTGCTGTGTACGAGTACTTCCGAGCCAAGGGCACCAACCCCCTGGAACAAGACAGCACGTTTGCTGAACTCTGGCGGACCATCAGCAAGAACGGAGGTGCTGACAACTGTGTGTCCAGTCCTTCGGAAGGTATCAGGAAGGTAGGTGTGAGCGGGCCACCTGACCACATCTGTGCCATGACTGGCTGTGGGCACCATCATCTCCAAGGCAGGAGACACCTTCCCAGAGCAGCTCTTTCGAGTAGCCCTGTCACCTATAGGATTATCCCTCTTCAGCCATTTGGATAGAAATTTCTCACAGGCATCTGAGTGTCCATAGGAGATGCACACATTCTTTAGGTAGATGCCCATTCTTGGCAACAGAAGCAGAGGGGCTGCTCATTAGATATGGTCTAAGTTTCCAAAGGGTCAGTGAAGAACAGGCAGATAAAGCCCCCACATATGGACCTCCTTCCTCATAGGCTCATAGGATGGTGGCCCAGAGGGGCCTTCTCACCCAAGCAAGAACACCGAGCAAAAGCAGAAGCCAGGACCAGTTAAGAGGTGGGGGAACTGAGTGGACAGGGTTGAGGAGATGGTGAGCACACAGTGGGCAGTCAAGGGTTAGAATGGGGAAGACCACACATAAGGAACAGAAGGCCCAGAGCAAGGGCTGGCCAGTTGGGCATCTCTGTGGGATGGCACTTTGGAAAAGAGGTATGCTTGAGGGATGGTGGTGAGGACAGAAAACCTAGGATGGAGGCTGTAGTGGGGGAAACTGACAAAGAGCAGAGTGAGAGGAAGCCATGGCCAGAGAGAAGAAGGACATAGTAACAACCATCATTCTTCGGCACTGGGTTAGACTCTGCTCATTTATTTCATTTAATCTCCCACAATGGCCCGAATTAATCATTGTTATCCCATTGTACAGATGAGGATCAGAGACATGGGGTCACACTCCTAGTTAGGTTCTGATGCCTGGGGTTCCAAGCAGTGTTTGGCATTTACCCACCACATGCTCCAAAGCCCCTAGGGGTCAGTGAGGAGGAAGATGGTAAGATGAAGGCAGGTGTCCTCTAAGGATAGTGGTGTCCTTCTGTCTGGTGACCCTCACCTGTGGTGACTACTGTCCCTGAGGTCCCTAGTGAATGGTGTAAGAAAGACATGTGCCTGTGGCCAGGATTCCTGCCTCTGAGCAGATAAGCATTCCACCCTGCCTCGGCGTCTCCTCTTTTCCCTTCTGTTCTCACAGAGCAGTTAGCTCATGATGGCTTCTCCTTGTTATTTAGCCACGTTAAACAGTAGAAAGCATCTGGGCTCTGAAGCCTGATACACTTGGGTGTGAATCCTAGCTCCGTACTAACCAACTATATAAAATAGAGCACATCGCTCTTCCTGTCTGGAGCCTCTCAGAGTTGAGAGAGGCCCTTTGGAGGTCTCCTTAGACATGTAAAATATTCAAAAGTATACGTTATGGTAAATTTTGAGTGTTTTTATTTAAATTTAACCAAGTGATACCTTAACAAAAATAATTGGCTGCAATATAAATATGCTATCCCCATGCTTACAAGATTTCGTCAAAGCTCTTTGTTTTTAGTGATTTACAAAGGATGGCGCTCTAACCTCAAGCTGCCAGGTCTTCCTTCATCCCTGATAAGTGACTGTCTGTGGTTGTAGGTGACCTCATTTGGAGATAATGAATACAAAGTTGACTTAAGGCTTTTTATGAATGTAAGGCCTGGGCCAAATGGCCTTTGAGTTTCCGCTCTCTGCTTTCTTTGTTTCTCACAGAGAGTCGATACTCCCATCCATATAGCATTTTTATGAAGATTCATTGCAACCGTGCTACAAAAAGTACTTCTTATACAAGAAAAGATGGCTACTTTTGACGTTATTAAACTTCCACTTGTCGTAAGACACTTTAAAGAAAATTAAAAAGACAAGTCACACGCTGGGAGAGGATATTTACATGTTATCACCAATGGGGGGTTACTATCAAGATTAGGGGAAGAACTTTTATAAGTCAGTAAGAAAAATTCAAACAATTTAACAGAAAAATGGGCAAAAGACTCGCACAGGCCTTCCACAGAAGAGGCAATGCGTATGGCCAGTAATCATAGGAGGAGATATTAAAAATCATTAGTGATCTAGGATATGCAAATCAAGACCATAAAGGTATATCATTTTACACCAATTAGACTGGCATAAAATGAGAGGTGGTAGAGAGGATGGGAGTAACAGGTGGCTAATTGCTGGTGGGAGTGGACCCAGTACAACCACTGTGGAAATGAGTTTGTTATTCTCTTATAAAACAGAACATCCACATACCCTATAACCCAACGATACCGCTCCTATGTATCTACCCAAAGGAAACTGCTGCATGCACTTCAGAAGTGAGAAAGGTCAGGGTAGCATTGCTTATAGTCAGAACCCTGGAAACAATCCAAATGAGCTTGAACAAGACAGAAAAATATGACCTGCAATGAAATGAGTGGACTACACCTTCATGTAATAGAATGGATGAATCTTAGCAGAAAAACATGGAATCAGAAAAAGCGTTAGTTTCATATGGGTCAGTGAGTAGAAAATAACATACAACTTAATACCCATTTAAAATGTATAAAACGCATGCATACACACATCCAAAGTAATGATAAAATACAAAATTCATGATGGTGTTTATACAGATGGGAGGGGCAGAGCAACAGGAAGGAGAGGAGCAAATGGCTGTTGAATAGCACGTCAGGGTCTACAGTGTTAGCTGTAGATTCACAAGGTTTTTAAATTTTTTTCCCATTTCTCATTATAATAAATAATTAATGAGTTAGTTAATTTAAAAAGGGGGTCATTCCTCGACAAAAGGACGGGTGTCCTGAGCCAAGGGTTCAGCTGATTAATCCTAGTTCATGAACCTCCCTACTCCTCCAAATGAGTGAGTCCCGACCAAACCAGGCAGAGTTTGGCTCCCACGTACGCCAGTCCCTTTTGTCTTTGCAAACTCCATGTGCCTCCCTTGTCTTATTCCTGGTATACCATGAGAGAGCAAACACCACCACAGAGCCTTCTGGAGGGTGATAAATCTGGAGATGGGTCATCAGGGAAATATTTACTTGTCATCCTACTTACCCCTAGTCCATTGCTGGCACATTGGAAATCATTCACCTTCTGGTAATATTTAGGGTCTCATTTCATGAATAAAACAATGTAAAAAAATGTAAGTAGTAGAAGATGCAAATAAAGGATTCCTTATAAATGCCTATAGTTTCATGGTGCAGAATCTAATCTTTTTTCAGTACATAGGGTGTGTTACTTTTATGACACCTTCATTTTATAAACCCCAAGCGAGCTTTGGGGTCACAAATCTCTCTCTTGCATTTGGATCTTTAAGAAAAAACCAAACTGCCAGCACTAGACAAATGTTAAGGGTTTTATAACTAGTGTCATAAAAGTAAGTTTATGGTATTGTCAGAAAATGGAGTGTGCTGCGTTTTTTACTGGAAGGAGAGCTCAGATTTGCTCTCAAATCCTCTTCATGTGCCTGTTTGGGGGGATCCTGCACCTAATTGCTTGTCTGAAACTCTTCCTGTCTCCTGCCCCTATGGAGGTGCCCCTCGACTTCCCCCTCCCCCAGGCTACAGCTTCAGAAACCTTGTGAATCCCACCCACCTGCTACAGACCAGGCTGGGGATGGCCATGCTCCAAGTGAGGTTCGTATCCTGAATTCAGGGACTGTAAGGAGAAATCCAGCCAAAGACAGCCTGCTTCTGTGCAGCACAGGCAGCCTGGCAAAGGTGAGGAGGGGATGCCCCCGAGGGACATTGCCAGAAACTTCTGTAGCAAGGGGAGAATGACCTCACTTCTAATTTCCAGTTACTCTTTGGTGACTCTGGCTCCATTTCTGGAGAGTGCTTGGTAGTAGAGTGATGTCTAATTGCTACTAAAGTCAAGGAGCTTGGTGTGGAGGGTAACCTCAGAGAGCTGCGATTATTTTTTTCTTGGGAGTGCTGCAGACTTTAATGACTTGAAACCAATTTAGGTGCAAAATTGCTTAGCAAGAGGTGATTACTTTTCTACAGTATCAGAACCATGGAAAGGGATTATGTCATGGTTGCCCCACCTCTGTGACCCACTCCTTCATGCTGGTGACCACTCAGACAAGGAGGGGGCACCCCTTTCTAGGCCCTGGTGAAGAGAATAGAAAGGAATTTGTAAGGGGAAGTAAATTTTATTTATTTATTAAGAACCCACAACATACAGTTTTTATAACAGACCTTCCTGGCACCCCCTGGGTGTCTCAATAAATTATGGGTTGTCCCTAAATGAGGACAAATTATGGGTTGTCCCTAAATGTCCCTAAATATGTTTACTGTTTGACTGAGCAGAGGTACATAAATCTGAGATGTAGTTGGTGCCATCAGTAGGCGGGTTACCCTCCATGGATCCCTTGATGGGAGGGGTAAGGGAAATAACTCCAGGGTCCATTTCAGGCTTGTCTCTTAATAGCCTTCTCTTGGGAAAGAAAGCCTGCTGGTCCTCAAGAGGAAAGGAGTTGCCTTCATTTTTCTCAGCCACCTGCTCCTGTCAGACCTGAGGAAAGAGTAGACCAAATGTCAGCAAACTACAGTTCGTGGGCTGAATCTTGCCCACTGCCTGTTTTTGTAAATAAAGTTTTATTGGGACACAGACAGATTCTTTCACTTACAAACTGTCTGTGGTGTCTTTCCTACTACTTCCATGGAGTTGAGTAGTTGTAACAGAGACCATATCGTCTCCAAAGCCTAAAATATATATTATGTGGTCCTTTACAGAATAGGTTTGAGGATCCCTGGTCTAGAGCAACAGATGTGCCAGGGATACCGCCCCTAGGTCTATATCATCTAAAGGCACACACACATATCCAGGTACTCATTATCTGGCTCTATATCATCTAAGAGCACATAAGCACATCAAGTAAGGAGATTATCTGTTAGCTGTACATCATCTAACGGCCCATAAGCACATGCAGTAACACATCACCTTGCTCTAAGCCACCCAGTTGCACGTAAGCACATCTAGTAGTGTATCCTCTTAGCTCTATACCGTCTAGTAGTGTATAGTCTGCCTACACACTGTCCTTTCATGTCCTTTTCAGGTCTAACTCTGGTGGCCCAGGGACTTCTCCC